GGGGGTGGGGCGGGCCCGGGGGAGCGCGGGCCCGGGGGCGGGGTGAGGAGGGCCAGCCGAACCTGCCGCCCTGGGACGCGCTGCCCCGGAGGTTCCTGCGGGAGAGTTTGTATCGTCGTCAGTATAGGGAGCTAAGGGGGGATGAGCCACAGCAGGAGGCACAGCTGGAAGAGACCGACGGGCCAGGAGCAAACACAGGAATTCCAGTGAGATACAGGTAGGGTGGGCAGACAGCCGCTTCGTTTCATCACCTTGAAGAGCCTTTGGATCCATAACAGCAGCTTGTGCCCTCCAACTGGCCCATGTTCCTCAGAGCACTAGGCCAAGTTCTGCCTTTGCATAACCACAAGGTTGAACAAGAATGAGTAACGCTGGGACAAAAGGGAAAACAAAACAGAACAAAAGACCAACAATTTTGGTTTGTTTGGTAATTTTGTTCCCATCCCTGGAGGCGTTCAAGGTCAAGCTTGATGGGGCTCTAAGCAACCTGTCTAGTTAGAGATCCCTGCTCACTGCAGCAGGGTTGGACTAGATGACCTTTAAAGGTCCCTTTCAACCCAGTGCATCCAATGATTGTCACTGAGCATTGTACACACAGGATTGTTCACATTCCTTTTGGTCAGTTGCTTCCCTGTACCTGTGTCACCATCCGATAATTAAGATACGTGTAGATTCTTTGTGACCCAGCCAGGACAAAATAAAGATAAAACAATCTCGGGTGTATAAAGAGGCTTTTATTTAGGTACAGATCAACTGCTAAGAGTATATAAGCTTATAATAGATGTGATAACTAATCCAAAACTACAAAAGAGAAAAATCAGGAAAGGAAATAAACAGCTAAAGGAAGGCCACCACCCAGGGCTCCTTCAGCATCCTGTTTATCTTGTAGTAGAAGGGGGGATCTGGTCCTAGGAGGCATCTTGAGACTGGCACTCTTTTCCTTTATACAGTGAATTGCTGGGATATGCCATGGTTGTCACCCAATCACTGTTCCACATGTGTGGCAAAAAATTATGTATCGCCTCGTGCATTCCTTTGTTCCAGTTATCTGTATCTTTTTCTGCCAAGCTGGTGATTTACACAAAACACTCTTTGAGCCTCTTAATTAATTCAAGGCCTGGTTGTGGCTGGATGTCCTTGCTTACTGCTAGCTGAGGCACCATTTGTGTGCCTCTTGGGCTACGATCTCAGCACATCCCACACCAAACTCCCCAGTTCGCAGCTGCCTGCAGCATTTGCCACATTGTTAACACATCATGGGGGCTTTGCTGAGTTTTGCAAACTCAGCAAACCCACCACGGTTTGGTGGGTTGCTGAGACATCTCTGTAATAATCTCAGCAATAAATCTTGCTTAACTCTTAGATGTCTCAAGACAAACACCAGATGCCCTGAGTGTCTGAATACACTGCTCATTTTTTGGATTGTTTGAGACAAGCACCATATATCCCAAATGTCACAACCTGTCACCAAACTTTTCATAGAACCATAGAATTACTTAGGTTGGAAAAGACCATCAAGTCCAACCATTAAACCATTAACTACTCTACCAAGTCCAGCACTAAGCCAAGTCCCCAAGTCCTATAAATAGATGACTTTTAAGCACATCCAGGAATGGTGACTCAACCACCTCCCAGTACAGCATGTTCCAAAGTCTGACAACCCTTTCAGTGAATAAGTTCTTCTTAATGTCTAGTCTAAACCTCCCTTGCTGCAGCTTGAGGCCATTTTATCGTGTTCTATCACGAGTTACTTGTGAGTAGAGACCAGAGCCTACCTCTTTACAACACCCTTTCTGGTAGTTGTAGACAGTGATGAGGTCTCCCCTCAGCTTCCATTTCTTCAGACTAAAAAGCCCCAGTTCCCTCAGCTGCTCCTCGTAGGACTTGTACTCAAGGCCATTCAACAGCTTTGTTGCCATTCTTTGGACATTCTCCAGCACCTCAATGTCCTTCTTGTATTGAGATGCTCCAAACTGGACACAGTATTCAAGGTATGGCCTCACCAGTGCTGAGCACAGAGGGACACCACCTCCCTGCTCCTGCTGGCCACACTATTCCTAATACAAGCCAGGATGCCATTGGCCTTCTTGGCCACCTGGGCACACTGCTGGCTCATATTCAGCTGCCTATCAATCAGACCCCCAAGTCCCTTTGTGCTGGGCAGCTTTTCAGCCACTCTTACCCATGACTGCAGTGTTGCATGGGGTTGTTGTGGGCCAAGTGCAGGACCTATCACTTGGCCTTATTGAACTTCATACAGTTGACCTCAGTCCATTAATCTAGTCTGTCCAAGTCACTCTGTAGAACTTCCCTAACCTCAGGCAGATCAACACTCCCTCCCAACTTGGTGTCATCTGCAGACTTACTGAGGGTGCATTCCATCTCCTCATCAAGATCATTGATAAAGATGTTAAAAATAAGTGGTCCCAACACTGAGCCTTGAGGAACACACACACCAAAACATTGACGTACTCTCCAGGCATAAAGATATGACTTCCTTCCCCCATTAAAAATCTCTCCAAACTCTTCTTACATGTAGTTATTTGAGAAAGACTAAAGTCCAGCACAAATTGCTAATTTCTTGTGCGTGTTATATAGCATTTATGTTGTTGTACATGTACACAATGCATTGCAGTAAAACTGAGACACAACAGATCTCCTTGTAGGATGACATTTTTAAATCCTAGAAAGCACGTATACAGGATGATGTGTAGGCTTTGCTCCTTGTAAGGAATATACACAAATTGGTGCTTGTGTGTATGCAATGACAGTAGACAGAAGTCACTTCTTGACTTCTTTATTTGATGTTAACAGATACAACATATTTATTAAAATGGAACAGAAAAAAATAATTTGAAGGACTTGTATACTGTACTTGCACTTACATTACAAATGAGGTTGATAGTTTCTGCAACTGTATCCCCAAAATTCTGTTTTTAGAGGCAGGCTGTGATGATTATCTCTTCATTACTGGAAGATCTGCCACTCAAATAATACAGAATTATGATTGCATCACTACTCCCTGGTATGACTACATTTACAACCTGACTCATCTATAGGTGCTTTTATGGTCATCTTGCATTCTGCACTTGTCATTTTTTGTTTTGACACTTGTAAAACAGCTATCAAAGTGGATTTTACATCCTGCTTTTCTACATTACTTTAAGTAAAGAAAAATAATTTCCAAGTATTTTTAATCCCCAAGGGAAAGATTCCCCAATGTATTTTATTTCAACAGTACAAAAAAAAAAAGCATTCTATTGTTAAAAAATTTGGTAGCAAAAGAAACTCCATTTGTCACATTTACATTGTACAATTCATAGATGCCTTTAGAATAACAGAATACAGGCCACACAATTAATTGGTAACTGCAGCAAGAGATACAAGTTTCTCAGAATTTCTGAGGATTTGTTCTTCCAGAGATTCACAGCAGACATCTGAACTTCTATTTTGTAATTTGTTTTATCTGAGCTAATGACTGTTATTGTATTAGTAAATCAGTGAACACGTTCTAATTTAGCCTGTAGTGATTTGAAATTCCCAATAGTAGTCTGCACTGTTAGTGTCGGGCTCATGGACTGAAGTTCAACCAGGTAGCAACTAACAGCATCCAAGCAAACATTGGTGAATCGTCGTCTGTAAAGAAAACAGAGAATACTAATTACTTCCTTTTTGTTTCTGTATATTGTAATTCATCTGAGATAGAAAGTGAGCAAGTGACCATTCTTTTAGTTTTCATGGAACATTATCAGCAAGAACATGTGTCAGGTACCTTTATTTATTAGAAAAACCTATTTTTGAAATCTAATATTTGTCATTAAGACATAATGAGAAAATAATAAAACATTACTATTTATCTGATTTTAAATATAAACAACATGATACAGTTAATAGCAATGTGAAATATTTACTTAAATATTTAGATATTACTTTAGACATTTAGACATACAAGCAATATAGAAGTTATTAATTTAGATAGCAATTCAAATTTCTAAAAGCAGTATAAAATTACAACAATTTAGGTATTAATATCTAAGTAGATACAAAACCAGGCAACATTCACTGAAGAACTAGTAAGTTACAGTATTTAAATCAGCTAACCATAAAAGGCCAAAAAAAGTGAGAAAAGACACACTATTGGTGAATGGGAGATATTTACATGTATATTTTCAAGAGAATCAGAAAAAAATATAATTGCAAGAATTATCAAGATTTTACCTAGTTCTGAAAAAAATACAGTTCTGACTCAAGTTTGTAAAAGGTATGCACAAAAGTTGCCAAAGCTAGAGAATCCACAATATGCAGGCAACTTGTCGAAGTATATAGCTATTATTATAGCTAGAAACTATTTCTAATATTAGAACTAAATTCTTTTCTGTAGCAGACTAAACTGAATTTTAGTACTGGGGAGTCATTCATCGCCAACCATTTAAAAACAACATTCACTTCCCGAATACTCAGTGCTTCTAGCCTTTCTTCATTAAGAGTTCACTATTTCATTCATAAAATCCCCAATTCTCATTTTTCCCCACTTTTCCCAGATTCCCTCAAAATTGTCTCTGTAAAGTGTGTTGCCAAAATTTACAAAATAATCCTCTTAGTTCCTCATGAATATTCAGTGAATTGGAGCAAATGCTCTTTATTCAAGTAGTTTATAGGGAGCACACTATAAGTTGCTACCAGCTGGTTTTGAATTAGGAGTCTCAGTAATCACTGCTAAGAAACAAATACCAAATTCACTCAAAAGAGAAGAAGAAAAGCTTTGAGGATTGTGAAAGTTCAGTGCTCCAGGATATTTTGTCTTTCACTATTTATTAGGACACTGTTGTCTTTCTTACCTTGGAAGTACTCTACTTGGGTCATGTACATATCCTGATAATAGTATGTGAATACACTCTAAAAGGTGTAAAGGCTTTTTCAGTCTATTCCAGTATGGATCCTAAAAATATCCAAAATATTAAGGAGACAAAAGAAAAGGTCTGTATCAGAACAAACTGGCAGCTGTGGTAATTATTTATTGTAACAAAAAAATAAGATAAATGGGAATTCTATCTATAATAAGTCTACAGTTAGTACTATTTTGACTTCTGCATACTAAAACATACAGGAATTTAACTCAGTTTTTCATTACCTAACAGTCTGTAAAGCAATAGATTTAGTAAGTTCTGAATTCCTTACTGTAATATATCTGAGTAAAAAGAAGCAAGTAAATTTCTGGGTTTAGTTCTGTTTGAGTCTGTTCTTCAAACCAAAAGTTAAAAATATGACTTCTTACTCTTTATGCCTGTTATATCGATAGGTTAGACAAGATGCATTAAAGCAAATTTTAATCATTAATAGGAAACAAATAGAATTAATGTATTCAAGATATGCTGTTCATTCTGCAACATAACAATTCTAACTGTATTTAATCCTAACTCAGAATTCCATGAGGTAACAGGATTAACAATTTTCCTCATGCTTTAGGATTGAAGTCAGTAAAATCAACATGGGGAAAAAAAGCAGCATTGAGAGCCTTTGAGTAAAAAAAAACAGAACAAAAGAGACAAAGCTGACATTTTGATATATCACACCTTGCATTATTTTATGTTTTCTAGTAAAGACACACCTTGATAGTAATGAAAGCAAAAATTGTATTTTGTAGCTATTTTCCTTACCCGTGCTTTAAACAACTGGTCATATACTTCCAGCAGCCTTGGCAATGGCACTCCAATTTCTTGCATGGTGTATGTTACAAAACCTACATCCCAGTTCAAAGTGCAGACCTGTTGCTCTAGGAACTGCACTAAAAAATCTGAAGGACAAATATAATGGAATGTTTAGATTCCAAATTGTTAATGGGTGTCTAGCAAAGAAAGGCATTTGAAAATGATGTACCCTAAAGTGTAATTTTGTGTCTTCCCTGCAGTTGGTACCTTTCTCCTGTAAAGTACATGTAACAGTTTCTGCCAGTCTGCACTAAGGATCTGCAAAATGTAGCTACCTCCAAAGATGAAATTAAGCTACCCGCAATGCATGACAGTGTTTACTCATACTTTATTACAGTACTGTCACAGACTACATTGCTAAGAAGAGTTCATTAACACTAGTTTCAGCACAAAAGAACACACTGTCTTTTTATTTATGAGAATAGCCAGCATCGCCACTGCATCTTTTATCATGTTAAAGTGTCAGTAACAATTAACAAGATACTGGTCAGCATTAAATGCTCTTTTACAGTATTTTAGTATTGTAAAAGAACGTTTATTACTGAACAACACATTTTCCATTTATTTAATACAATACTAAGTTGTCAAAACATGTGAGCATCTCAAAAGCAGAAAGCAGCTCCAAAAGATCCAGAAATCTCCTGAACTCCATTTTTACTATCTACACCTGCAGACAACAGTAGTTACTTCAAAAGACATCAGATAAATGTGGTTGCCTAAAATCATGGATGAATAAATGCACATTTTTCCTTTGTACACTCTGATACAAATAAACTTTACTATTTCCTAAACTGGAATCTGCACAGCCAGCCAAAAATAACTATTACTGCCTTACAAGCTTCATTTTCTACCCATTCTGGGTGAAAAGTGGTAAATTCTGGTTAAATCCCTAGACAGATTTTAGTAAATCACTGCACCTATAAAAACTGCAGTGATTTTGTAATACAACTATACCATGCTTAAAAAATTAAAGGTCATTAGCGATTCTATTTCTACATCTTGTCTAAGCTCCCTCTCCTCAATCCCTTGTCAAAAGCACTATAATCATCACAATGTTTATAACAACATTTTTGTTCCCAATTTCCTGGACAAAACTGAGAAGTACTACCCAGCTTCTCTCAAGATCAACTCCATCACTAACGACAGCTGAAATGATTTGTTGTTACAGCTACATAAAAGAAATTTCACAGATATCTACAAGTAATTATGTATCACAAGCATGTAATTATGTATTAAAAAATTATAATAGTCTTTCCTTTTAGATTTTAAAAAAAGAAACATTTCTCAGGTTAAAACATTTTTTTAAGAGGCTAAAGAGAAAGCTGAGGCCCACTCCTGTAATGCTTATATTTGTTTACTATGCAGACTAGACAACTTGCCTAAAGGAAAGTAACGAGGGGTGCCAGCATATATCTTCCCAAGCAATACCATCTTCAGACTAAGCGCTTGCATTCTGTCGGCGGGGCTCAGAGACACACTATCGCTCAACTCTGGAAGTGAAAAGAAATAATTTAGAAAGCACTTCAGTGAAGAAGTTCCAAATTCATACACAATTACACTCAGATACTTCAAATTTACTACTAATACATCAAAACTTTATGCTATTGTCAGTGCAAAATCAGCACGTGAAAGTAAAATACAATGTTTTCTGGTATATGCAGAGGCATTCACAGATTTCTGTGTTTCCTTACCCCACCCAAAACCCCACTACCAAACCCACAAAAAAAACACTACCACGTAGCTTTTCCCTCAAATCACTGTCAGTGTTGTTTGCAGAATAGCAACCTCAAGCAGAAAATCCAAGGAAAAAAAACCACAAACAGAACAAGAACAGAGAGTGAATAAAAAACTCAGGTAAAGGGTGAGGCCAGTTATTACAGCTGAGTGTTTAGGCTTGCATAGCTGTGCAAACTACTCTGATTCTCTGTAAAGGGTCAAAACCCTTACACTTCAAACTCCTGTCAATATTATAAAGGATTCGCTGAAGATTTTTTAATCTTTGTTGTCATAAATTTAACATTTTAGTTATCATTTCCTAATAGCAAAGGCTTCAGACAAAATTTCACACTTATTCTGAAGTCCATATATAATGGCATCTAAGAACAAAAGAAGGGATGAAAGGACTTCTTAAATGTTACCTGATATGTGATTATTCAAGCGATACATGCAATGTGCTCCAACATACGTGTAAAGATACTTTTCTGTCCTTTAGGCACACAAACCAAAGGCAGTGACATTAATGAAATACCAGTTATCTGAACAGTTTATCAGTGGCAGCACAGTCAGTTGCAAAAGCTTTAATTGTACCATTTTCCTATAGTTCTGGCATGTACCACTCCCAGTCCATTTAGACCTACCTTTCTCAATGATTTCTTGCCAGAGAGTTTGCACCAAGATAGGATCAGAATGACCTGCACAATGTATAATTGCAAGCTTACACTCTGAGAGCTTGAAAGGGTCAGCAAATTCGCCATACAGCTGAAAAAGAAATACCAAGTTTTCCATTTCAAGTGGGATAAAAGGGACATTTTTAAAATCAGCTTTTCTTTATTTTGTATGGTAGACATCAGACTAGTAGACGTTCGACTTAAGTTGTCAAACTCTGAATAATTTTTTTACCACTTTCCATTTCACTTCTTAAATACAACCCTCAGTTTGAGATTAAGTTAAAATTAATACTGTAATTTTCTCAAAATTTTCCCAATAAATAAAGAATCTAAGACACCTAATAAAGAAGATAAACACATGGAAGAAATTAAAGTACTAAAGATTGAAGTACTATCAAAGTACAGAAAAAGACAAGTTTGGGTAACACATGTTCTGAGATCAGGAATGGCAAACGGTTTTGCTATTATTTTTCCTAGTCAACATAGGAAGATTCTTTGCAAAACATTTTTTTAATCCACAAATGTGATAAATGAACTTTTAAAACAGAGATTTTTTAATCACCTTTGTTATATCCATCAGCTCAGCATCAAGCTGGGAGATTGCATCTTGCACTGAAGTATGATGGGAATACTGCCGCTGTAATGTTTCTTGTATTTGAAGCTGGATCCTTGCAACCTTGTTCAAAAAGAAAAAAACAGATATTTCAAGATTGGATTAATCAAATTTTAAAAATACACCCAGAACTAACTTTAGCTTACTTAAATGTAGAAATGTTACTGTCTTACACCTCAGTCTCCTGTCGACTGCATAAAACTTGGCCACATTGGGAAGAAAGCACATAAAACTGTTTCTGCAGAACGGGTAATAGAAGTTATGTGCCAAGGAGACTACATGGAATAATGCATTTACAGTGTATCTTAGAGTAATATTTTTTTCTTACTTCCATTTTCTCTTCTAGCTCATGTAGGAATTCACCATCTGCAGCTATAGAGGACATGGCAGTGGAACTTTTGGCACTCAAAATGGCACGTGCAATGTATTCAAGACGTTGCTGAAGAGCAATTTCTGTGCTGCAAAACAAATACTCAAAATAAAATAGGTACCTAATATAATTTTTTGAGGGTTAGTTATAATCTAACTAGACCCTGGGTATTAGTATTTAACATCTCCTGATTTTGCTAAATCATGCAGGATATTTATTATCCAACCACATAACCCCATCTTTGTTGCAGGCTCTGTTCTAGTGTACTTATCAGTCCACAGCTCCACAGTTACACTATCTCATTGTAAAATTTTGTAAAAAAATGATCACTTAATATACAGTACTTACAACAGAAAATACATTGCAAGCTAATGTATAATAAATAAGACAAACACACAGTTTATTTCCAATAACAGCCTGAATTACAAGCTAATATATTCCATTAATTTAAAAATTTTAGCAAACATCCTTGGGCCCTGGCCTTTTCTTGTCCCAGGCCTTTTCTTAAAATACCTACACATAAGGTTTTGATTTTAGTTTGTTTGCTTTTTGCCAGTTACCTCAGTATATGCAACAGATCACTCATAATCCATACCTGTGCAGGTCAGCTAACTTAGCCAAGACTCTGGCTGCATTACTAAAATTTCTGTTCTTTTCAAAGTATCTCCACAGTAAATCCATATAACGGACTTTGTTTTGGTCGATTTTGGTCATCCGCACAAGGTACGGTTCCAAAAAGGGAGCAGTAACCTGCAAAAGTCATAAAGATAACATTTATGTCCTTGCTCTCGTCTTTTTAAAAGCATCACCATTATTAAAATGAAGTCTTATAGTTCAGTGGAACTCTGCAACAAATGAATTAATTGTATAGAGATGAGCTCACCTGTAACAGTTTGTCTGCTAAGTCAACTTGTATCAACCAGTTGTAAAGTGCAATACTGAAGAGTTCATCTGTTGAACGCTGAGCCAACTTCAGCATCTGTTCAAACTAATGGAAGAAAAGGCCAAACCTATTATTCCAGAAGAGGCTACATTACACCAAACACTGAATACATGTGACAATAACTAGGTTAATGTTATTTGCATGTCATCATTTCTATGAATACTCTGTACCAATTCATGACAAATCTCGGCTTCACAACATTCAACACCCCTTTGAATCACACTGTATTCTGGAGTGCAGTCATGACTTTTTTTGTGAGTTTCTTACATGGTGCCCTGCTTCTTCATTGCTTAGCATGTTGGGGTCAGATGACAGCACCGGAGGACCTGGCTTTTTGGGTACACTGGGAGACTGAGGAGCAGCTTTACTTTGGTTCACTAACTCCTGAAGGGTGTCAGTGATACACTTGTAGCTATTCAATCTGTAAAAAGAGCAAGAGAAAATAAAATCCTTTACCTTCTGTTCCAGATTATCATTAATATGGCACCAACCTAATCAAGGACAGCATGCTGGGCAAAACCATCTAAATTATGTCTCTTGTTATAAAATGCTTTTTATTATTACTCTGCATATCTTCCATCCCCAAAAGAGTAACTTTTTCAGTCACTTGAAATAAAGCAACCTTGTGTATTGGGATTATGGTAACCTTGAAAACTTGCCTCTCTTGAAAAGCTTGGAGTCCAACAGCATCCTCTTCTGGTTCTCCATTTTTATAGAAATGAAGGCCAAGACCTTGGGGATCTTTCTTCTCAGCGGCTGTAAGAGAGAGTTCTACTACTCCCTCATAAAAACGCACTAGAAAAAAACAAGTATCACCATGCATTGTTTGAAATCTATGACAAAATGATAAGTGACATCAAACATTTTAGCAAGCAAGAAAGAATAAACCTTATTCACTCTGGTCTGTATTGTATAAGGGTTTATGGCCATACCTAACGTGTGGGACTATACACAAATCTGAACTTACATATTTGTAAAGGCTGAAACCTTGACTGTTAAAACAGTTATATCTACATATAGATTATGGGCCAGCTTCTATAGCACAAAACACGATTCAGACCCACCTTTCAAAAAGCATATTTGCTTTAAAATCTTACCTCCAAAAGTAGTAATTTACCCTCTGCTTACATACAGTTCAACAATTTTCCTAAAATAAATTTAACCATATACATGGAACAAATGGACATTGCAACGTGAAATAAGTAGATGGGAGTATTTTTACACAGATGTTGGGTTTTTAATTGGTCAGTGAAACCTATAAAGGCTTTAGACAAGAACAAGTTGATATATATTAATTGTAAGAGTTATTAAGAAAGTGTTTATACTAAAACACTATAAAATGAGTTTAAAGTTACCAAACAAATCAAATGAAAAAGAAGATGGTACAGAAGGATATTACAGAAATTATTTATCAGGACATGATTAGCAATTGCCTCTTACCTTGCCTATATTGTGCACAAACATTAGCAAGGTCTACTTGATTGCTGATCTTCTGGTACTCTTTCAGGGACTCTCGTAGCATCTTCTCTTTTTCCAGCTTGCTTTGAGCCTGTCGAGACCGCTGAAGCAGCTCATTTGCCTAAAGACAAATGGTGGGGAAATGGCAATTATTCACATCAATGCATCATGAACAGTTGTAGATATTGTTCTAATATTCCAAGAGCTTCAAAGAGTGAAATTCTTAAGCACAATTATTTTTCCATAATTTCCATGGAACTAGGGAACAGACAACAACCAAGAGACTATGCTGAGGAAAGACAGGACTAAGAACACATTTTATCAACATTCAGTTTTACTAGACATCACATTGGAGGTAGAGACCCTGTGACCACTAAAAATAACTGCAAATGCTTCAAACCAAAGCTCACATAATTTTCAGGATTCATCAACTAGAACACACAAATACGCACATGACCTTCATTAGTTCTTGTGCTCCTGAAACTACTTGAGCATAATGATCTACAAGCTGCCCAACTTTTTAATTTGAACATGTTCTGAAGTTGTGTTTTGTTGTTGTAAAACATGGAAGTGCCCTTACCTTGGAACACACAGCGTCATCAGTGCTGTAAAGAAGAGGACAGATATCTTGCAAATGGGCAATGATGCCATCCACAGCAGCGTTGTCTCTGATATAACAGTTTATTAGAGAAGCAATGAGTGCTCCAGTCAACTCTCTGTCTCTAATTACCAAGTCTTTGAAAGGAGTAATCTTCAGATGTTCTTGAAGTTCCTGAGGATGGACAGAATTTCATTAGTTTACCAAAGTTTTTTCTTTATTCTGTTTCTTAAACTTACAATGTTACAGAAGACGAATTAACTGTTTCCAGTAAATAAAAACATACAAAACAATGACTGAAGTGCACAGCACAGAAATAAATTATTTAAAAGACATTTTATATGGCAAAATGGAAATAATTAATAAAGCCCCATCAATGAAGGCACTAGACTCTTGGATGCCAAAGGACAGTGAGAACTCCTCTTAGCAGACTTCCTCTGCCATCTTGACCATATGTCACTTTGGTTTCAGATCTCTGCTGGTAAGAAAGGAATTAGCAGTTCACCTTATTTCACAGGGCACTGTCAGGATGCATAGCCTGTGAAATGAATGTATCAGTTTTTAATAATGGGAACCATCTGAGTACTGTCATAGATTTAAAAAATATGACAGATGCATAAAAAGGACTTTTATGAGTTTTTGGTCAGTACTCTTTATGCTCTCTTATATTAAATTACATAGAAAGTTATTAGATTTTAAAAAATAATTAGGAATACTTGTTCACAGAGTTATAGGTAGTGCCTATGGATGACTGTTAACAGCATAAAAATACTGTTGCAAAACCTCTAAAGCTACTGAAGGCAGAGAAAAAGGTTCTGTTTGTTAAACAATGTTTACTTCTTGCCCAACACAAGAGAAAAGCTGCCTGTATTAGAAATCATGCTAACTCCCCAAAGCAACAGTGAAGAGCTCCAGCTTCTGAGCATTTGTAAAGTTTAAAAATTCTTTTTATTAACAAAGAATACAGTTTCTCAAATAATCTATTTTCTTATCAAATACTAGGATAGAATGCATAATATTGAAATTAATAGCTTCTTCAATGTCTAGATACAAATTCAACATTAGCAAAGAGTACACTTGAAAGAAGTGGCTGAAAGAACTTGAATTGCTTAGCGGGGAGAAGTGAAGGCTCAGGGAGCAGTGTGTGGGATCTTACTAATATTTAAGGGAAGGTGTAAAGAAGGCAGAGCCATACTCCCATCAGTGGTACCCAGTAATAGGATATGACACAGTGGCCAAAAGCTGAGCAAAGGAAATTACACGTGAGCAGAAGAAAAATCTTTATTACTCTAAAGGTGGTTGAACACTGAAATGAATTGCCCAGAGAGGCTGTGGTGTCTCTATCTTTGGAGATAATTTTTAATATCTTTCATATTTTTAATGCAGGAGATGGACCTGCACAACCTGCTCTAGTTGACCCTGCTTTGAGAAGGGGAGGCAGATTATCTCCAGAGGTCTCTTTCAAACTCACCTGTTCTGGGATCCATTTTAGACCCCTACATACACAAAAGTACGTTTCACAACTCTACAACCTTGCTGCTCTCCAGTGTTAAACCTTTACCAATGGTAAGGCAAAGAGCGAATCCCTCTCAGATGGAAAATAATGGTCTACTCTTTCAGCACATTCTGCAGAATATGCTTAGGTGAAAATACTAGTTTATAAAAACAGACTCATTATTAAATGCCAATAAAAGTAATGTAAATCTATTGCTAGTGACACTTCCGATTTGCTGAAGCTGGGAGATGAGGTCAATATTACACACCAGCTCCTTAAAAACAGCCACTTACAACCAGAATACTAAATCCATATAAAATTTAAAATTCATTTTATGTTTCTCAATGAAGTAACACTCCTTTGGTAGTATGTAGGTTGCAAAAGAAATTCATCTATTAAATATAAATACATTAAAACCATATGATTCAGATCTTACCTTCTGAAGTTCACCAACAACAACACTGAACTGGTGCTCACAGAGCAGCTTCCACAAAGCTAATGCCTGGCAGGTTTTGCGAACCAGCTGCTGGATGCCTTGAAGAGAGTTCTTCTCAGTTAGCTGTGCTTCAGCTGAAAAAGCAGAGATTGACAGCAAGCAACAGTTTTATATGTTTCAAATGAGCATGTAAATTTTCAAAGTTTTACAATAACAATCTCCTTAAAAGTATACTTTTTTTTTTTTCATTACACTCTTGACTAATGCTGTCCAGCTCTCCTTGGATGAAAGTGTCATGTTAGCCTTTGTCCAAAACAAATACCATCTGTTAACATTTTTTTCAAACTACAGAATACAGGAGTACTTCCTGAAAAAGAAGTATGTCTTTGTCTACTGGAATTATATACCAGTCTTAAATTTTTCCATGTTGTTTTGGTTTTTTTTCTAATAAATAGTTATTAAAAATCTATTTATGGTGCACCTAAAATAAAAATAAAACCATACATAGTCCCTTTTTGTTTTGACTGCTGTATTTGCTTTTAGAAAGAACAGGTACACTTACAACTTTGGTGAACACTGTCTACACTATCTTTAAAGGAACAATCACTACTCTGAAAACTAGTAACATTTAAATCTGTTAAACTGTATTGTATTCACTGAAAGGACAACATGGACATACATAGTACATGTGGAGAACATAGTTGCAGCAATTTCTGTCTTTACTTTTGAATGCTTACAGTTCAGAGATGAGGCAGCAATAATTATATTTTGTCATTTAGCAATCCAAAAGGGTTTATAGGCTTTGGAATGCACAAAAATGAAAAATAAAATTATTAAACATCTACCAGGTTCTACATGAAGATGTTTTAAGAAAAAATTCTGGTGACACTGACTGTAGCTTTGGCAACCTGCATTACAGTATTTCCTTTTAATAGGACAACATACTCACAAAGAAATTCCTTAACAATTGTTATCCTGAAAAAGTAAGTGAGTGTGCAGCTACTAAGTACTGTAATAAGTAACAATTTTATGAACTAGGAAAAAATAATACAAAAAAAAAGGAGTCAGGTAAGTGTGCAAAGAAACCTTGTTTTGTATTTCAAGATTGTCTGAATGGGGAATATAGGTTAAAGAGCATGCATTATCACCACAGAATTACAATGTAATTCTTTGTATGAGAGAGAGAGAGAACTTTAAAAGTGCTTTCATTTTTTTTTTCTTTTACCTTAATAAATTGGCTTGTTTTTGCAGTGGCTCAAGACCACTTAATATGACTGTGCTGAAACCTAGATTCTCTTCACAGAGAGGTATTCTCCTTTGTGGACTGCTTTGATCAGTGGCAATATCAAAGCTTTCAATATCAAACCAAAAGATAACATCTGCAGCATGTAAGAAATTAAGCCTCCTGCTATAGTAAACCTAAAGTTTGGAATATTTCTCTATCTAGATTTGAGTTTTCACTGGGGGTACATACTTCATCTCTAGTACAGTCACATCATAGAATCATAGAATCATAGAATCTTAGGGGCTGGAAGGGACCTCGAGAGATCATCTAGTCCAACCCCCCTGCCAGAGCAGGGTCACCTAGAGTACATCACACAGGAACTCATCCAGGTGGGTTTTGAATGTCTCCAGTGAGGGAGACTCCACAACCTCCCTGGGCAGTCTGTTCCAGTGCTCTGTCACTCTCACAGTAAAAAAAATTTTTCGGATATTCACCTTGAACTTCCTATGCTCCAATTTACACCCATTACCCCTTGTCCTATCACTGGTCATCACCGAGAAAAGCCTAACTCCGTCCCCCTGACACTCACCCCTTACATATTTGTAAACATTGATGAGGTCACCCCTCAGTCTCCTTTTCTCCAAGCTAAAGAGACCCAGCTCCCTCAGCCTTTCCTCATAAGGGAGATGTTCCACTCCCCTAATCATCTTCGTAGCTCTGCGCTGGACTCTTTCGAGCAGTTCCCTGTCCTTTTTGAACTGAGGGGCCCAGAACTGGACACAATACTCCAGATGTGGCCTCACCAATGCAGAATAGAGGGGGAGGAGAACCTCTCTTGACCTACTAACCACACCCTTTCTAATGCACCCCAGGATGCCATTGGCCTTCTTGGCCACAAGGGCACATTGCTGGCTCATGGTCATCCTCCTGTCTACCAGGACCCCCAGGTCTCTTTCACCTACACTACTCTCCAGCAGTTCAGCCCCCAACCTGTACTGGGACATGGTGTTGTTCTTCCCCAAATGTAAAACTCTGCACTTCCCCTTGTTGAATTTCATCATGTTTCTCCCCGCCCAATTCTCCAACCTATCTAAGTCTCTCTGAATGGCAGCACAGCCTTCTGGTGTGTCAGCCACTCCTCCCAGCTTAGTGTCATCAGCAAACTTGCTGAGGGTACATTCTATACCCTCATCCAGGTCGTTGATGAAGATGTTGAACAACACCGGTCCCAGTACCGACCCCTGTGGGACTTCAATAGTCACACACCTCCAACCAGATTCTGCCCCATTGACTACAACTCTCTGACTCCTTCCTTTCAACCAGTTCCTAATCCACCTCACTTCCTGATCACCAAACCCATACCTGATCAACTTTTCTACAAGGATGCTGCATGTAAATGATTTTTTCACACCAATGTCACTGCAGAAGCACTGCTCCTGAAGAAACAGTATGATACAGTATGGAAGCAGAAGCAAGCTGCTAGTGAAGTTAGTTTCTAAACTACTTTTTCCAAAGAACTCATTACCGTGTACGGCATATTGATTAATGTCAAATTTGAATGGAAAAAAGGCACTTCTATCCAGAGGTTTTAAGAATAAGAAACACCAAATGCACCCTTCCCTGATGCTTCCAGTTCAAAAGTTATTACATACCATGGTATTTCCTCTGGAGTTCTTGCTGGACTTGTTGGGAACTTCCACCATCAGGCCGCATGAAACCCAGGAGCCTCTGTTGCAGATTGGCTGGTGTGCTGAAACTGCAATTACAAAATAGAGAGAGATACTATCTGATTACAAATACTGAATCTCTTAAAATTGAAAACCTAACAACTCTTTTTTAGCATCTGAATAGTTGAAGCTGAAGAGCATACATACACTTCAGGTAGATACAGATATGCATGGTACAGCTGGACATTAAATACCACAAGTAAATGTAACACAATAAATAATACCTTGGGTTTCCAAGGGCTCCCACTGTAGCAAACTGTGAATTTCTATACAGAAATTCTTGTAAACCTTTGAGTTCTTGCAGTACACATTCCAGTACATGGGATGGAACACTGCTTTCTACCTGCAAAAGAAAGCAGACTTCTTTACAGAAAGCTTGTTTTCAATTTTTTTTCCAATTTAGAGTTTTAAGCTAAAGCCACTAAAAAAAACAAATATAAAGGGGGTAAAAGAAACAAGTAGTAATGGTATCACTAGAAGGTAGTATTATTGCACCACAGTTCTTAAGGAGGGGGCACATGTGAAGAAGCAGTAGTCCTCTAAAGCATTCAAGGTGCTACTATGCCCCTCAGATAACCAAATGAAATACCAAGATGTTAGTCAGGAAGATGATGGAAATATTTTAATGTCCTTAACTAACTGCAGTCTTTATTCCAACCCACTAAACTGTTTTACTTTGAGGCTTAGTCTGTATGGCGTATGCAGAAAGTAAGTGCAATCATTAAACATGAGGAAAACTGGCCATTGCCAGTTAACAACAGAGATCAAAAAACATTTAAAGGACAAGAATATGTATTTTTTCCTTATTGGTTTATAACTGGAAACAGAAGTATGACAGGACTTAAGACATACACTGTAAGAAGCTTTCAAAAACACAAAATATTTTACATACTGCAACAACTTCTCGATTGCCACTTTTGAAAACTCTCTCCACAACTATACTGCCATCCCAAATATTTCTGCAACACAAAACAGTACTGTGTTAAAAGCCAAGTAATTTAAGCAAAATTTTTTTTCAAGTTTTCTGTGTATTATTTCTTAAGAAAGAAATGGTAATGCTTTTTACTTCAAGGTCTAAAATACGGATTTGTATTGGATTAAAAAAAAAAAAACAACTTTCAAAAAAAGTTAGCATTATACATTACCGAATGGTAAAGATTTAAATCTTTAATCAAATGAAGCTTGATGCTGTCAAATACTTTAAATATAGGCCACTATATATTTCTCTTGAAATATACTGTAGGCAAACCAGTGTGATACCAACAATTTCCTTCCCAACCAGCATGCAGAGAAATGAGCAACATATGAAAAGTCCTGTTCTTGCTAAACATTAAAACAACAGAATCCTCTTTAGTTTTGCTTCAGTGCTCTGGTTTGAGCATTCTCTTTAAAGCTTCTTAACAGAAAGGACTTCAGGCCAGGGCTTTGTTCCAGTAAGTCCTTCTACATTGCTGTTTCACCCTTTAGTGGGAGTTCAAAACAGACCTCACAGGTTTGAAAAACTGTGTTCAGAGTTGTGCATATACTTGTGATTGCAGGATCAATGTCTAAGCAAGTTTCATGTCATAGTCATTCATTAAACGTATCACTGATAAGGGTCTACAGAGGATGTATTACATCAAGGGGTAATTCATAAACACAACATAAAAATGCACTTTACTGATTTTGAATGTAAATGTTATTATAGTATTCACCACTTACAAGCATTAGGAGAAAGAAAAACTATGAAACAACTTGAGTGACAGAGTCTCTTTTTACACAAACACCTCACCCTATAATCCGAGCAAAGTATATGCAGATGCCGTTGTGTCTTCCAGAAAATACTATCTCAGGACCCATCATTCCACTAATGGATGGACTAGGGTGAGACATGGAATTCCCAGAAGGAAAGATGGCAGTTGACATAGTAGGAGATTGTAAACCTAGAATAAAAGTAGGTAAATCTTACTCATTTGAATGCAAATAAAAAAGCCTAACTGAAAAAAATTGTCTCAATTTCTCCAGAGAAAGAAGGCTGTACCTTGACCAGATGTCAAAAAGCTAAGGTTAGGATATGGACTATCAAGAGCCACAGGGGAACCTAAAAGGGAAAAAAAATAAAGGTAAGTTTATTAAAAGCAAAGAAACAAACCAAAAAGCACAAAGCAAAATAAAACCCGTAAAATAAATGTGCAAAAGTGGCAAAGTTGTTAAATCAAGCGCTTTAAAGTTAGAACCATTCCAGAACCGTTCATTTAAAAAAACCAAATCACACTCATCTATTATCAGCCCAACACTCCAGAAGTAACCAAGTGGATAGGCTTCTTTCAAGAGCAGTTATTAAACATTTTCAGCATTACCTTGTTATTTACTGCACACCATCGGTTCCCTGCATTGAAGATAATACTGTCCACATACTTTCTCTTATTCTTCACCTTCTGACTGCACTCTTTCTTTATACGGACACCTGTTCTCAAAGCACTCACTTTCAGTAATTTATATATTTTAAAAGACTATCAATTTTACCTTCATAGCACTCAGCTGAAAGAAACTAGTACTACTGCTCCTAATTTTTACATAGTGCAGTTGGATAAACACCACAGCAACACTCAAATTGAAACATTCAGTTTGAGACTGTAACTAGCCTCTGATTCAGCTGTGATTACTCAACCCTTTTGCAGACTAAGTCTGAATACCTAACTTAAGACCCAAATATATGAGAAATGTGTGTGGCCATGTAAAGAAAAAATGTTCGTATACCATCAACATATAGGATGATACATCACAGAAAGCACAAGAAAACTGCCACTCTGAAAATCTGTCTCTTACAAAAGAATCAGTCTTTCTTGCCTTATTCCCTATAGTTCTCTTAACTTTGGCTACACACAACCACACAAAGAATAGTGATGTCCTTCATTAAAGACCATCAGTGCATTCTCAGAGCATGTTCCCCTGTGTACCAAGCAAAGCACAAACTTGCAGAAAACAGCACATGAATGCATGACTAGATTTTCAACAGTGAGAAAATAACTAAGTTTAAAGTGCCTACCATTTTAATGCTAACATTATTGTAATGTAGTTTCACATACACAATTTAAAGGTGTTTTAATGCATTTCTGTCAGCACTGTCTAACCCACCACAGATATTGACAATATCAGAATTTTAATTTCCCATGACAGTTCTCTACCCTGTGGGCAAACACAGTAAGCAGTAGCAGAAGAATGGCCCCATCTTCCACCTGAACCTGTCACTGAAGCACAATGGAAACAGGTGCTTTGAAACCACGTTTCAAAGAGACATAACTGACTGCACATGATGAAAATATCCAAACGTTTTCCCAAACCTGGGAAAAATCGACTTTTTATAAAAGCAGGCACGTTATTGATCACAGAGCTTCCTGTCTTTTTTCCACACCTTACCCTCATTCTCAGCCTGCTCTTAGCACCTGTTTTCCCCATAGCTGCTGTCCTCTCTAATTCAAATTTGATTTTACATTCTTACACCTTGCCTCAGCTCCTGTTCACATTGCTACTGTTCCACACCAGCAGGTCTGGAAGGTGATGCCACCCAGGCACTAAAAATAGCCCTTCTCAATGCTTTAATATCAGTTAAGGATTCTGAAAAAGAGGGTCTGCTTTTTTTCCAAAATATCATCACAGGTTAGTACACATTCTCCAACATTTATTAACTTAGATGTAGTTCAGAAAGGGTATTGAAATGGAATTTCTTTGCATTCCAGGCAATCAAGTTTTTTTTCTCCAAGTCTGATGTTGAAAATTAAATGCTGTATGTCAGAGAAGGGTAAAGGATCTTGGAAATTAACGACTTCCTGATACTTTTTTTTTAATAATTAATTGAATTCAGTAATTCTGAGTTCCAAATTCACCGTTATGAATTTCATTTTTTAAAAAGCCTTAAGATCTGGAACTGGTTGATGCATGTTATGGGACAACTTCCTGAAGCAACTGTAGAAATTTGAGTGACAGAAAGTCCCCTACTCCAATAAGCATCAAGTTCTGAGGAGAAAGAATGCTGTTCTCATTTGTAGGTGCTACTGACAACCTAGACAGAAACAAAATGTTGAGAGCTTTTGCCATGCAAAATCACCCCAAATGACGAACCCGTTTCTTGATCAAACTTTTTTATTTTCTTCTCATAAGCATGATCTGCAGAGGTATGACTATGTCACAGTAAAAAGGTATTCTGCTATAGCATCTTCATAAAGTTTGAACTAAAGTACTGATAAATTGTTCTCTGGATGCTGAAGTGTCTCTGGCAGCAATAAATGTGTACCTTTTTCACCTAATTTTAACAGATTTTATGCAACATGCAGACAGACTTTGAAGTGACATCACCCTCTCACTAAAATAAAGAGAAATGGAAAAAACTCTGATTAGTCAGTAAATGGAAAACCAAGAACCATTTCAGACAAAAAGAACACAGACACTTATGAGAAGAAAGAACATATTTAAGAAGAAAAAAACCTGTCCAAAACCATGAAAAGCTTGCTACTTACTGGCACAAACAGGAGAACCCAAAATAGGTCCAACATTGCTTGGAGGAGGCAGAGCTGATGGAAACCTCATTTGTGCTTCTCCACCATACCTAAAGTTCATACGCAAAGACAAAAATTCCTCACATTTCATACACAATCCATTACATTTTCATGTTTTTGAGAATTAACTATATTCGGGTTCTTTAAAAATGGGGAATAAAAACCTAGAACTTTTCAGAAATATGCACATTTTAAAACAATGCTCTCTGAGGCAGAAGGTTAAAGAGCCTGAGCAATTACTTAGAGGTTGTAGTGATTCTGACCATAATATCCAAACAACCTACAGAACTGAGACTTACCTGAAGAATGCTCGAGTAGCCCAGGCAGATACTTCTCTATCACATGCAGCATTAGAACAGGCCAAAATAAGGCAAGTGGCACAGGCCTGATCCTCCTAGAGTATATTATATTGTTAGTGCAGCACCTTATATCAAGCTGATAAGAAACATATAGAAGTTATCTTGATAAAAAATTACACAGAAATACTCTTTGCATAATTTTATTTAGAAGTCAAGAAAGTCATCTCTTTCCAATTCCAGCCAGGGGGTGAACCATAGTGAGGCAGCCCACTGTAGTCAGTAAATTCATTATAGTTTTTGCAAACTCAGTATGATTACTGATATGAAACAACCTCCATGTCTGGCACCTAATTATAACTGAAATTCATGCACTAAGTTTATAGCAAAACCAAAAAAGATTCTATAGACAGTGATTACATTAAAATAAATATTATCTGCTGTTTTTCATAACACATCATAAAATAACAGGGTTCTCAGACCAGATTTTGGTAACATCTTACCTGATGCAACTTGAAAAATCTCTCAATCTCCTCTCCATCCCCACCGATATTGCTAACAAGTAGATGCCGCAGCTGATCAACAGGTCTGAATTTATGAAACATAAAGCTCCCCTAAAAGTAACCCGAAGTAAGTTAGAATAAAGTTGTCTTTAATCTGGCCATCTCAACCTTGCCTCCCCATAATGCTTTTCTTTAGAATTCTGAATTTTCATTTGTTGCACAATTAGATCAAAGCATAATGTGAATGGTGCCTAATGTCCAGTTCTTACTCACATGCAGAAAATTCTAACAAGTCTAGGAAAGGCAGGAAAAATATAGCAATGACTATAAATACTCCATGAACTGAGTTAATTTTGCTGATCTTAGCTTAATAGGAAGCATACAACATCAGAATATAGCTAGTATACCCAGAAAACAAAGGCTTTATGACCTTGCAAATCCTCAAAATGACCTGAAAAAAGAATGCCTGAAGAATTCAGGATCAAGGTCATGGTAAGACTCCACGCATAGTCATCTTGCCTGCATGCACAGTAACTATTGGAGAGGGTTCAATTAACGCCTTTAACAAAAGAGCTGCTAAGAAACAAATGAAGGAAGAGTCTAGAGGCTGCAAGACATTAAAGATTAATTTATTTATTTTTTTAATTGCTTACTGGTTAAGATACTAAGTCTCCTAAAATATGTCCAAACACAATCAGATAAAGATAAGTAGGAAAATAAATTTGTTTTCTTTTTGTGGGTTTTTTAAGAATCCTTTCAAAAAATCCTTTGGAGACTTTTATGACAAAGAGGAAATCAGTTATTCAAATTTCAATTGCTAACCATATTTACTCCAACTATTATTTTCTGGGCAGCCAGTGCCTGTTTCAATTTCATATAATTATAACTAAGGTAGAAATAACTTCTCAGATTATCTGTATCTAACAAGAATCTGGAGACCAACAAAGAATATGAATACACTGTAGATGAGGGGCTGGCCCAATGGCTTTAAGTAAATTTAAAATTGGTACAGATTGTTTCAGCAATCTTTCTTTTTCCTCTTCATGATTGGAACATAATCCTCAAAACAAATCCAAAATGAATTAACATTTACAGGTTTACATCAGTCTTCCAACTTTATACTTAACTTTTCTGATCTCCTATGTTAAGAAAAAGTAATACTCACCTGGGCTGAAAGCAGAACAAACTTCTTGGGTGGCAGCATGTGTTGTTGCACAACAACAGGTGAATCAGTTATTGGAACAATGTCTTTATTTAGCGGTGTTACAATCTTCTGAACTTTAAATTCATCAATAGCAGATAGAGCCCAGGAATGTCCATCAACACGGGTGGTCATCTGAACAATAGGTTGGTATTATTCAAAGGTTATTAACAGACATGGATTTTGTACATGTATGGTGGTATTTTACCATTTACCACTTTAAATGACATGATAGAATCTAGTCACCACACAAGAAAACTCACAGAAAATAAGCAAGTTCTTGTATTGCCCAACAGAAGTTTACCACCAAATTTTCAGCTATATATGTACTGCTGCATTTAGGCAACAGGGAATATAATTTTGCTTCTTTTGGGGGGACAGGGACAGTGTTTTGTATGTCAAAGTAAAAAAACTTGCAAAGTGGGATCCTTTAATGCTGCTATAATATAAACAGCAACATATCAGAACTAAGAACCAAAGATATAATGAATTCAATTTTTTCCTTAAAGAATCAAAAAATGCTGCAACTCAATCATAAAGGCTTACATGACTTTCAGAGTTTTCAGCAGTACTCCTAATTGAACTTGAGACATAGCGTAATGAACACATTGCAGAAAACTACATATGCTAACAAGGAGGAACTGCTGCTCAAGAATACTGTTAGTTTTGTTTGGGAAATCTAGCTGTTTGTTACTGTCAAATGCCTCTGAAAAAAGAGATCAGTACTTGGGATACTTACTGTCTAACTTTTGGCAGGGAAGTGATCTGGAGTAATTATAAAGGTACTTTTAAAGTTATTAAACCAGCAGATAAATCAAAACATGACTTTGAAACTTTAACTTATAAAGTCTCTCCATTCAATTGAACTCTACCACTGCCCCTCAGAAGACACTATTTTTGACATGTTAATTCTCTGTTTCAGCAAAAGACTTCAGATTTCCTTCAGAGCTGGAATAAACGTTCTCCCTGAACTGATGCTCAAGACAACTAATGCTCTTCAATGCCCCCTCACAAACCCACTTATGTAACAATCAGGAAAAATAAAGACAAAAAAATACGAAATCATGCAGATTAATCATGTCTGAAATGTAATTAAGACATTTAAATAAGGAAACTCAAAGTCTCTAGCACCTACTTTTTATACAACCTTTGCCAAATATTATCCTCATAAAACACCACTACTGCCTGTGGACCACATGTGCTTGTGCACAACATGTAGCATGCTACAGACAACAGTATTTTCAAATACGTTAATTGAAAGCCATGTCTTAGAAGTCAAGGCAATGGCTTTTGATACACAGGTTGCATCAAGTTAGAAAGTATGACTGAACTAGAAAATCCTACTATCAGTTCCCATTCACTGACAAAAACACCTACTTTTTTTTTTTTCTTGGAAGCATGTTAACAGCTTTTTATACGCTTCCAAACTTCTCATGGAAGTTGTCAGTGAACTGCTCATTTCTTGCAGATAGTGTTATTCAATTTAAGATATTTTATCTTATTTATTTTTATATTTATTTATGATATTTTTATCACAGAGGAAAAAATATTACCTAGATTTCACCAAGATTGTATAGAAGTTTGCTTTAGTACCTGTGTTTCCATCATTGGCTTTTGAAAAGGGAAGGAATCATGATTGATACACCACAGGATGTCATTATCCTCATTTTCTGAAGCCGCCATAAGAAGGACCCCTAAACAAGAACAGTAATATTAAGCTTGTATTAGAAGCAATAATCATGCATTAGATGCAAATTCATTTAGTCATTCCTTGTAAGTCCCAATGATATAATTTGAACAGAAAATTTAATCCCTGAGTTTGTATGTCACAGGATTCTTCAGGTCACTTTTAAAAACCATTTACCATCTACTCTAAAAGGTACAAAAAAAAATTACTCTAAAGTAGGTAGAACACGTCGCAAAAATGAGATGTTTAAACAGATAATGGATGAAAAAACATCCAGAAAAGACCCAAAGGATATAAATCAGTATGTACAACTAAATGGGTCTGCAGCTTTTCCCTCCCTGCATTTCTGCAGCACTTTTAATAATTCAGCCAATGATCAGAAGTGACAGAGAAGCTGGACCCATCTGGTAGCTGTTTGGCATCTTATATGGTATCAGTAGCTAAATGAGTTAAATAAACAAAAGTCAGCACAAGCTAAGCTCAGCATGAGAGGCATTAAATAGGTAGAAACATATTATATCCTGCTTCAAGAATTAATCACACATTTCTAAAGGCATGTAACCAAATTTGAACATGTTAAAAAACTATTTTATGGACAGATTGGAAGAAAAAGGGGGTTTGTCAACACACAGTTCTCTGCTCAAACAGTGCATCTTGCAAAAGAACTAAACTCTGAAAAATATTACAACCTTCCAAAAAACCTCCCATCAACACACAGAAGCCATGCTTAGATCTCAGTTATTCCCACTGCTTCAAACTCCTCAATGTAAAAACAGTGTGATACTGACTCACTAAAAAACAAGAAATCAATCTCGTCTGAACCATGCTCCACTGCTTACCTTTGCTATAAAGAGCTCTGTGAACTTTTGCAGGCTTCTCCACATTAGAAGAAGCTGAAAATCCAGGTGGCAAACGGACATGAACCAAGGTTAACATGGAGGGACGAGCTGCAGGATGCTTAAATTGTGAAGTACTAAAATACAGTCGGACACCTGAACAAAAGACAAAAGGAGGTCACAGTGTTGCTAAACTCTGCAGATGCCAATTATCAGTTTAAAAGGAGGAAGGAATAAGCGTGCTTTCTTACCCGCATGTGTGATTGCTAGTAGTTGACAGTCTATGGATTCAGAATTTTCAATCACAGCTATTTGAACAATAGGCTTAAATACAGAACGATCTATTGTTCTGAAAAACAAGAAACAAACCCCATACACTCTCAATCCAAAAAAATAAGCAAACAACATTCTTCAAAAATATTGCATGAAACTACTGGACTTAAAAGAAGCCTCTGACATTAAAGTTGTCATAAATATACCTGGCAATGCTTCCAGCAGCAGAAACGATAGCATTTTGAGAAAGAGAAGTAACCCTGGTCATTCCTTGACCATCCTGTCCCAAATCATAAACCTGCAACTCAAGAATACAGCTTAGTGATACAGTTGAATCAAGGAGTACAGACTCATCTACCTAGCAGCAACTCAATTTTATTTTATCCTCATGTTTCCATTTAATTGAGGGGAACACCATAAGGCTACTTCATCAGAAAAAACGTCTTCAGCACATACCTTGTTACTAAAAAATAAACTGAAATAGCACCCTGACACACCTGCAGAAAATGCCCAGATACAGAGAAAAACTTTAGAAGTTATATGCCCTTTAATAGCACAGCCAACAGTCAGAAGAAGTCACATACTTGTAGCACTCCTTTTTCTGAGCGGGTGTATAAAATATTTCGAGAGTTGTCGATAGCAATTTGAACTACAGGATCTGGAAATGGGGAGAAAAGAGGGAGAAACCAGGAAATCAATACTGGATTTGGTGAAAACAGGTTTAAGACAGAATACCTTTAAAATAATTAATTGAAAGTTAAGAAAAACTGCAGGAGTCTCATACAGGACTCCTACCAGAAGCGATTTAAAACACCAATCAAATTCACACAACTATTAGTAAACAAACAAGCAAAAAAAATTAGAGCAAAACCTATAATAATTTCAAAATAATTTTTCATGTAACAGTGGAATATGGTAAAATTATTTGAAGACTCTACTGTTTGCAGCAGAATCTCTCTAAGCACATACTGATTCTGTGCTACACAACACTAACTTTAGTTAGTCAACTTTCCAGGTATCTATATCCTGAAGTAGATACAGAGAGGTGTATCGGGAGGTGACCACAGTTTTATAATCATCAACCATGGCAAGTTTTACTGGCAATTAACTAAATGCCCTGAATGAGGAAAATATTCAGGTCTAATTTCTTGATAGGTTTGATTTAAAAGGTTGAATTAAATGATTGGGTAAGCCCTTAACATCAGTACTCACCATCCTCTGAGAAAGTGAACTGCAGCAATGAAGGAATAAGGAAGGACAGCGCACTCTTGGAATGATTAATTTTTCTACAGCGTTGGCTAAACCAGCCTGCTTCAGCCTACAATTAAAAACAGATACAGCATTAAAGAAAAAAAACAAACAAACAGAAAAAAAGGCCTGAAACTAGTAGTTAGGTTAATGAAGTTGTTAACAGGACAACTATGAAAACTAGTAAAAAATCAAGCTACGCACCATTGATTTAATTGAAAAAGTATGTACCATTCAATTCATGGAAATAGCTTATCATTAAAAAGAAAATTTTGCATAAAATAGGATGCAAGATACCACCATTTTATTTCTGAAGTTGACCAGAGGTCATTGCTATTCCTCATATAGTTACTACTTCTTCAAAGACAATGCACCTCCACTAAGAGATCAGAGCTCTTGTGCAGCCAAGCCATACAACATAATTATGGAAGAAAAAAAAGACAAGCACACCTCACGTTTTAGAACTGTCAGTGCTTAAATCCCACAACCATGACACAACCAAAAAATGCCTCTGTGTAAAACCTATAGTCACCTGGTATGCTACTTCGTATAAGCAGCCATCTTTTCCAGCCAAAAAGATCCGCCCGTTGTCGGTGGATGTTATTGCCAGAATATAAGTATTGTCAGTAGGAAGCGAATAGAGAGGGTCTGGCAGCAGCTGCATTCCACCAGACATACTGTCATTGAGTGATCCAGTACCTTAAACAGATACATCAATCCATCAATCCTCTTTGATTTTTAAATAGTTCTGATATTACAGGTCTGTGAAAAGAAGCGTCTTGAAAACAGTAAAAATTACAGCAAATTTCATAGTTATTAAATACATTCTGGAATAGCTATTCTCCAAAACAAACTGCAGAGTAACAAATCTTCTGTTTAAAAAAAAATAAATTCTCTTGTGTGTAGGTTTCCAAGTAAGGAAATGCAATGTTCATTCCTGTATGTTGTTATCTCCTCTAAATTGTGACAACTCTAAACCACAGATTTCTTCATTTTTCCTCTTCCACATCCAGATAGTTTAAAGAGAGAGCAACAGATTGTAATACTCTCACTTTCTCTTGCTAACCAAGTCAATGAACTGTATTCACCTGTTCCAAGATTCATGCTCACCTCTTCACCACCCCTCCAATATGCTGTTTAATTAACAGGAGTACCTGTCTCAAAAACTCTTCTTATGTTAAACTGGTGAATAATACGACTTGATGCTCAATGGTCCTGCAGGTGCAAACTCTATAAAAACTATTTCCCCTTGTCTGTAACATGATCTAAAAACTATCACGGTACTTAGCACGTGGTCTTGGTTTTCTTTTTTTTTTTTTTTCTTTTTTTAAATGGCTACCAATAAAACAGTAATTTACTCTTGTTAATGCACAACTGAGAATGAGAGGAGAAGAGAGAATTACCTGTTTGTATATTAGCACAACTAAGCCCTAAAATCACAATATCCACTGGGGTAGCTAGGACAAGTAAGTGTCGTACATGAGGCTGGAAGATACCTAAGGGAAAAGGGAAAAGAAAATTTTCATTTGTAGCCAACCTCTCAGGTCACAATGAGGCATCGAACATATCCATTGGAGAGATACATTGACTTAATAGAGGGAATAGGCATATTTAAGACTTGATCTGTGAAACTCTAGAATTACAAAGGAATTATCAGCCAGCAGTTTAGTTTTCAGTTCATGAAATACAGGATCTCTAAAGTTACATTTTTCTTATAAAAGTGCTTCTTTCAAATTCAATCTTACTGTCAATTCAACTTTGATTTCAATGTTATCTAAGCAGTAGTCACCAGAAGAACTGGGAGGGATAGAAACCAGGATCTCCCAGAAGTTATCACTTGAAGGTGTAAATTTAAAAACAGTACAAACATTAAGAGTATGATGTAAAAAAAGAAATAAATATGCAAGCTTATCAGTGTAAATTAATGTTACACTGTACTTTTATTTTTGCTTGTAATTAATTTAATGTTTCTAAAAACAAACCCTTGTATCTTGTGTATACATACACACACACCACAGATTTTTCACATATGCATATATAAAAAAAACATTTATATGTAAGTGCCTAATTCTAAGTACTGTCATGTTTCTTACCTCCCTTTGGCTTTACAAGTCCCACTGCAAGAATAGTTTCACTAAGGCCATCAAAATAAGCGAGATCTCCCCTGTCAGAAAAAAACCCAACCTGCATAAAACTTCACACACAGTATCACATATAATGAAGCAAATAAAATCAGATTATGTATATTTTAAAACTATCAGTACTTATTGTAACACTTTCAGGCCAACTACATCTTTTGCTTTGGGAGAAAGAAGGTCCATCAGAATGAAACAACAGAAAACGTTTCAGAGCTAAACTATACAGGCAGTACTTTGAGCTGCTTGGAGTTTCAAACAGCAGCTTTTTATATTTTTGGATTTCATTAATCCATACAGTTTCCTCTGAATTACACAATGCAGCATCTGCAATGCTGATTACTATAAAGAGAGAGGAACTTTTTTTTTCCCCCATTAAAATTATCTACAGCAAGAATTCCCAGCCTTCTTTCCAGCACCTTAAGTTTAATAGCATGTAACATTGCTTTATCTGGAAAATGTATTTAATACACTGTGACACAATGTAAATGTACAGATAGAAGCTACATGAGCCACAATCTGAACTTCAGTCTTCTTAGGAAATGCAAAAACATGTATCTTCTTAAGAAATGCAACAACATGCACAAAGCAATTCTTAATTAAATAATTCTTCTATATATGGAAATAAAAAAAGCAAACCTGTAAATTATAAATAGATCACTTTTATTTGAAACTATAATGAAAATATTTTCATTTTTATGAATCCTTCAAATAAGCTAGGCAGGAGAGCTTTATTCATAATACTTCTAAGTTCTCCTGTTGTATTATTTAACAATGAGGGAATGACGGGTCACTGTAGATGCATCAGAGTACTTACTAACTCTACTTAGAAAAGTTAAGCAATTATTTTTTTTCTGTTTTTTTTGACAGAAGGAAATCCCTAGCATAAATAAAGCAAATACTTTGGGATACAAGCCATGTCTAACCCTAAGCAAATATATTTTACTTTCTTCTCTAGAAGATTTGGCAGCAATATTACTAACTGTTCCAAACCTTTGAACATTTATTATTCAAAAGCTTTGGTAAAATCTAAAAAGAATCAAGGTAAGTTACACTGAGTAGCACACCCCTGTGCTACCAGTAGAACATCTCCCACCACCACACTTGCTTAATGCCAATATAATCTATAATACCAACAAAATCTTATCAGGAATGTGTTTTCTACATACCCATCTTCATAGTTCCACATAAAAATGTCACTGTCAATGGTCAACCAAGCTCTGCTGATTTCTGGAAATACTCCCATCATACAATTGCACTGCATATCTGCAGCACTGCTGATGTAAGGATTAAATGCATTTTGGGTAGCAAAGGCAAAATCCCCTTTGGTGCACTTAAAAAACCCCCCAAACCTTCATATATAGGGAAAATCTTCATCTATAATTCTAAACATTCAAAGTTCTTCATAAAGAAATTAATTCCACCAGCAACTCCACACAGTTGGATCTTCTCGACACCTGAAGCCTTACAGAGAGAATATGAACAATATTTATGGGGAGTCAGAGAGAAATATTGGGGAAGAAGATTGTGGAAGAAAAAAATTCATTTCTGGTATTACAACTTACACAACCTGACATTGTTTTTCATAAGGATACGTCCAAACTGCTCCACGAGCTCTGGGGGAAGCGGGACCCTGCGGACTGAGCTGATCTCTGGAAGATTAGGTATTGAAAGCAAACCTGGTCCTTGCAAAGGATAATCCATATCTGACATACCAGAAACAGTAGGGCTACCTGCAATTAAGAGCAACAAAAAAACTATTATACTTCTTAAAAAGAAGGTAAAACTTACAAGAAATGGCTTGTATTCTTTCTGCATCTTCACCTGATTTTTTTCCTAATCTGTGAAATACAAATTAGACTAATCACATTTCCCAGTTTACTTCATACAATATAGAATGCCAAACTATGCAGAAAAAAATGCCTTGACACTGCAGAGACTTTAAGTATATCAACACCACCACTCGTATGTTGTTATGTGTGAACAAAGGTAGGAGCACAACCATAAACCATAACTCTAAATCTCAAATCAGACATAAGCAAACAAATCTGCAAACACACTCTTGCAACATCTCACTTGGGCACCAGCCTACTCTTCACCCCATTTTGACTCAGACACTCTCCAGCCCCATTTTCATCATATGGCCAGATATTAAATATGCCACCTGAACAACCCAGACTACTCCTTCACCTAGAAAGCTGATCTGTGCTCCCAGTATCAAGTTTAAATCCCAATATATACCCATTATTTTATGTGCATCCATTATCCAGGACCATTACACTTCAGTCACGCACATCACATTGTATTGTAACAGAAAACAGTGTTTGATTGTGTCCTGACACCAGCTAGATACACATTAATTAGATCATCTACAGTGCCTCTTCACAGCCAACTTTGCCAGCCAGGTAGTGCCAATGAAGTAGGAAATGCTGTCTACATATTTTAAGAAGAAGAAAACAAATGTTTGAGAAGAAGCATACCTTACATAGTAACTACATGCTGCATACTGCTACAGACCAATGAAAGTCCCTCAAACAAGCTTAAGAGAGATTTTCAGGCTGCTTGTAACTGAGGAATGGGGCTGGGCACTTAGTGACCCTAAAAGCACTCTGCAAGGCAAGGAACTTCCCAATCAGCAGGACGGGAAACAAGAGCCATTCTCCTCACGGTCTGGAGGGACACGGAGCTGAGCTGGAGCCCACCCAAGCCCATTACTCCTGTAGTGCTCCCCCCACCACGGAGAAAGCCCACAGCCTTAACCCACACACCAAACCACCCGCTCCT